TAGCGATTATCTCCTTTTACAGTTCGCCAAATTGTTTGTGGTGACACTCCCAATACAGCCGACGCATTCCGAACGCTGGTCTCAGGATGATTGTCAAAATGTTGTAAAATACGATTCCCTGCCTGCAAATCTCTTCGTAACGCTGCTTGAAATCGGTTGTTTTCTTGTCGAATTGAAAATGATCCAGTCTCTCGCAATCTATTAAATGTCAACATAAACACTCTTCGGTTTGGCACTCTTCTGTTTGGAAATCGTCGTGCATATTCTCGCACCGCCTTTAAAGCATTACCGTTGCAGAAACCGTATACAAAAACCATATCAGCATATTCACTATTAGAATACGTACGCGGCATATTGCAAAAGACAAAATTCATCTACTGTTAAAGGCTTTCAAAGAGCGACTGACAAATTCATAACAGAAAGTGGAAAATGTAATCAAATATGTCGGTGTTAGATATGGCAAGAAATGTAAACATTTTTTTTCGATTTCTCTGAAACGGAGCAAAAACGAGCATATGTCTATAGGACTTTTTTTCTTAGTTTTTTACTCCTCTACACGCTCCCGAAGTTTTGCCATTTAATTTGGAAACACCCTGTATATAATATATTACATTATACATGTGTTACATATTTGTCATCTCAGAAGATGACAGTACAAATTTTTTATCGACACTAATCAAATTTATAAACATAATTAGACTTTAGATTTGTACCTATCTGTGAACAAATATTTACACAAACGAATTTTATATACAATTTCGTCATCCATGTTTAAATATCAAAAGTAAAGAATAACGTTACACGCATCCAAATGTTGGTTGTTAAAATGCAAAGAAAAAAATGGAAATTGACACAAAAATTAAATTAATTACAACTAAATCCTAGCATTATTTCAGATCAATGACACTGAGCTACACAATATTATGTATCGACATTTCCTACTGATCATTTGTCGATGATCAGTAGGAAATGTCGATCAGTATGAATATAATGCTTTGAGATTTACATGCTTTGTATAGACATATGCTTTGTAGATATTATACAAATGAGATCTTATTATATACAATAAAAATCTTTTCTCCTCATTCTGACTTATATTACCTTATATACTTATCACTATAAAAAAAATACACCTTATATTTATTGTTTCAATCTTGTCAATCACTCATAATATCAAGATTTATATATACCTAATAACACACCATTAGTTACAATGTCTGAAAGACTGCTAGTTGAATCAGCTGGGACATATGGATCACAATGAAAAGTCAAGACTGGATGATGCCTCAAAGTATTTGGATGGTTATGTGCTGAATTATCTGCAGCTTTATGTATTCTTGAAAAGTTAAAAAATAACAAAATTAATTACTATTAAACCTTACTATGTTACAATATTTATAAAAACTTCAATAAAATATTTTCAAACATTAAATTTCATTCTATTAATATGTATTTAATAACTATTACTCTGATAAATATAAAATTACATTATTTTGTCGTAAACTCTCTACAAATCAAAAACATAATATATTTATTTTTCTTCTCTATAAATTTAATCTACTTAAACAAATACCTGTGATGGAACGTAGCTTCTTGGCTTTCTATACCCAGAAAATTGAGAACTTGTTGCTTTGTTGCTAATAGACTTAGCATTTTTTGTATATATAATTCCAAAGCAGCTCGTCGTTGTTCCAATACTTTCGGTTGCGAATTTCTTACTCTCTTTGGTGGAAACGGTGCAATATCTGAATTATCCTTCTTCAACTGAAGAAGAATTTAAAAAAGCATAAATTCTCTTATATAATACATTGTTATTCAATAAATACAAGATGTACCAAAAACACATTTTATAATAAAAAATATCCTAATAAAAGAAATATAGTTGAAAAAAAAGGATAATTATACAGTTCAGTTACATAACTTCAAAAATCAATAAAATTAGGGATAATTATTCAGTTTACCTATCTCCCCCCCGTATCACAAATCAATATGAAATTAGTCTTATTTTACACGTTTTTTACGTGAAATTAACGAATCTGGCAAAAAAGTGTCGCTTTCCTTTGCAAACCGAAATATTAATTGTTAAAATAGATAGATATTCAGGTTAGGAAATTTGTCATATCCATGACACATAAAGGGTTACACAAATTCTCTGTTTTATATATAAACATAAATTCTCCGCTTTAAGAACAAATTCTCTGCTTTAAAGACACAAATTTTCTGCGTTAATTATTTTGTATATAATTTTTGTTTTTACAGTAGAAAATTTGTTTTTAAAGCAGAGAATTTGTTTTTAAAGAAGACAATTTATGTAATTGAAGCAGAAAGAATTATTCTAGCCTCACTTACATGTTTTCATGTCTCTATGCCATCCATGTGACAGATTTCCTAACCAGAATAATCAACTTTACTTTAGGGCCACTGTTACCAAGCTCAGTTAATTTAACTGGCCAGTTAGTCCATCGGAATTGACCAATCGCATTTGTCATTTTGTTTGAAGCAAACCAGTTAAATTAACTGGCTAGTTAAGTTAACTGGCCAGTTAAGTTAACTAAGCTTGGTGATAGTGGCCCTTAACAATTAGTATCTTGGTTTGCGGGGCACACCAAGAGTGACACCTTTTTTTGTCAGATTCATTCATTTTCACACAAAAACACGTCGAATAAGGCTAATTTTATTGATTTTTGATGTTATAGCTAAACTACAATTACCAAAAAAGTAGATCAAATACGAGTGTTTTTTTCATATCAATTATTAATAATTAACACTTCTGTACCTTACGATGTAACGCACTAAATTCACTGTATCTTCTCTCGATGAAATGTCGAGTACCAGTCTTTGACTCCAAAACCTCAATACAGTAAACATAATAGGGTTTGCCATGTGACACATCAGCTAAGCGGTAACCGTTAATAAAAGCTTCGTACATTGCATCGCTAACAATTTCCGAAAGTAATAATATTTTATATAAAATGCTTATACAATAAATTTATAAAATTAGGTTAGAAATTAACTCCAATGATCTACAGTATCTCTGTATCTCATACTGAGATGAGAGAGGCCATGCCCGATGCCGGCCTTTTTCCTGTTACCGTCCAAAACGCCCGTACACTATCGCCAGTACATCCATTTTCGATTTGGGAACTACGTGGCTACATCCATTTTATGACTCTATTGATAATACAGAGAATTACTTAATTTAATATTATCATGCAATGTATTTATTTGATACCAAAAAAGAACATGAAAGAATTATAATATATAAAGTAATATCAGACACAATACAGAATTGTTATGTACATTGCCCGTCAATGATTCGCAGAGTCGTGCAGTAGTCCTGATTTATCGGCTTGATTTACTCGCAGGGTCGATAACGCGCGTACTTCGAAAAACGCACGAAAAGAGGCTTATACGAAGTTAGCCCCCCACTTTTTGAATTCACTTATTTTGCGAATTGTGCTGAATTGTGCTAGATTTGTGCTACATTGTGCTCGAATATTAATGTCAAAATACAACAAATACGTTAGAAAATAAAAATAAATCATATTTTAGGCCAGTCGCCCCCACTTTGCGATTTTTTCAATTTTTAAAATTGTGCTAGGTTGTGCTAAGTTGTGCTAATATTATGCCAAAGTGATATTCTCAAATAATGACAACAACAGAAGATATGATAAAAAAACGATTTTTCACAAGTCGGAATAAAAATAACGCTAACATTTGTATCCGTCAAATACTACAAAATTGCATATCTAAGTTGTGCTACCCCAGCACAAATCAGCACAACCGTTACATTTGCTGGCATAACGATATTAAGGGTACTTTACTCTTGAGCGCGACCGCTCGCGTAAGCATTTTTTATCCAAAATTCGGGTTTATAATGCTTCGATGTGAATGATATTACATATCTGAGTTGTGCTAGCCTAGCACAAGTCAGCACAACTCTCAGTGTCGTCGGCACAGCGATGTATGCATCTTACAAAGCAGTAGGGCTATGGCAGAGAACGAGACGTAACGAATTTTTATTTTGTTTTAGTGTGTATATATTTCCTTATTAACTATTAAGACGTATAAACGTGCATTAATATTACTCACCTCGTCGCTCTGACACACTTTACCGACCATTCCAGACCAGTCACGACTACGACAGCTACGTTTTTCTCTGCCTTACCTTACGTTACGACTACGGAACTTACGTCTCGTTACGTCTCGTTCTCTGCCATAGCCCTTACAAATTTACTGAATAATTGACAGAAAAGTAGATCACCGAGAGCTACTCGCAAGAGTAAAGTGCCCTTAATATCGCTGTGCTGACGACACTGAGAGTTGTGCTGACTTGTGCTAGGCTAGCACAACTCAGATATGTAATATCATTCACATCGAAGCATTATAAACCTGAATTTTGGACAAAAAATGCTTACGCGAGCGGTCGCGCTCAAGAGTAAAGTACCCTTAATATCGTTATGCTAGCGAATGTAACGGTTGTGCTGACTTGTGCTGGGCTAACACAACTCAGATATGCAATTTTGTAGTATTTGAATAACGGATACAAATGTTAGCGTTATTTTTATTCCAACTTGTCAAAAATCGTTTTTTTATCATATCTTCTGTTGTTGTCATTATTTGAGAATACTTTGGCACAATGTTAGCACAACTTAGCACAACCTAGCATAATTTTAAAAATTGAAAAAATCGCAAAGTAGGGGGCTGGCCTAAAATATGGTTTTTTTTATTTTCTAACGTATTTGTTGTATTTTGATATTAATATTCGAGCACAATGTAGCACAAACTTAGCACAATTCAGCACAATTCGCAAAATAAATGAATTCAAAAAGTGGGAGGCTAATTTCGTATAGGCCGAAAAGGGACACATTAGCAATATATATGAATATAGAATAATAAGAAAAACAATAAAAATCCATAAATAAAAGAAGGGCTACGAGCCAATTAAATATACGAACCAATGTAAAATATTTAATAATCGTACAAACGTTTCGACACCGATCGGGTCATTTTCCGATGGGGTCACCTTTATCTCCAATTGCTGCGGATATAGTTATGCAGGATTTGGAAAGAACAGCAATTGAAAAATTACCTGTTAAGCTCTTATTTTATTTTCGATATGTGGATGATATTATCTTAGCTGCTCCATCAGAGAATATTAATGACATTTTAGAAATTTTTAATTCATTACATAGTAGATTGCAATTCACTATGGAGGTTGGCATAAATGGAAAACTAAGTTTCTTAGATACTATGGATTGTGGAAGATCAAGTTCTAGTTTTTAATTTGTATCGTAAGGCGACGTTTTCTGGCAGGTTTCTAAATTTTAATTCACATCATCCGTTTTGTCACAAGAAAGGTGTAATATACGGATTTGTCGACAAAATTATACGGTTGTGTCATTCTCGTTTCCAGCAAAACAATTTAATTAAAGCAATAAATATTTTTTTAAATAATGGTTATCCACTAGATTTTATTTTTTCTTCAATACAAAAAAGAATAAAGTTCCACATTAAAAAGAGTGGAACTATCGAGAAAAAGATCAAGGAGAAATTTTTCACAATACCTTACGTGAGTTCGGTATCAGAAAAGTTTGCTCCAATTGCCAGAGATTTCATTGTAAGTTGGTTCTCTCGATACCAAATTCATTAAAAAATTTTATTAGAAAGGGCAAAGATCAGTTGGATCCCTTATGCAATCAAAATGTTGTTTATAAGGTCTCTTGTAATGATTGCGAAGCTAGTTACGTAGGTCAGACCAAAAAACAGTTAAAGACAAGATTACACGAACATGTCTCCGATATTAATAAGAAGTCAAAATCTTCAACAGTGATTACAAATCACTACATTGACCAGAATCATAATTTCGATTGGGGCAATGTTGAAATTTTAAACAGAGAAGCTTCTTATAATAAAAGATTAATATCGGAGATGGTTCACATCAAAAGATAAAAGCATGGAATAAACAAACAAAATGATACAGATTCTCTGCCAGAATCATATCTAAACATTATTCAATCTCTTTCCCCTTCCTAACAGTGTCCTCGACCCCCCCCCCCTCCTTCCAATTCTTTGTTTCCTCGTTTTCCTTTTCATCATAACGTCGCCTGACATCGTCGAGAATACTTCTCCAATGTATCTCATGGCTTATTTTTATTATATAATACTTAGTCAATTTTACGTTTTTCTCTCTCTGTGTCTGACGCACATCACCACGACAAATAAAGATATATATATGTATGTAACTTAATGGTACTAAGGCTGCGGCCCACTTGATGCTACAAACGAAGCTTCGAAGCATTTGAACGACCAATCAGAACAAAAAATTTTACGAATTGACTAATCAAAGAATGCTTCGAAGCGTTTGTAGCGTCAAGTGGATCGTAGCCTATATTACTACAATATATAATTTATACACTTGATAACTTAATCTGTAAAGTAATGTAGGTTTTTTATTAAGATTGTAGATAAGTGAGATGAGATCATTTTTATATCAAGTGATGCTAATTTAAATATGGATCGCACGTTAATAGGAAATATTGAAATTATCGATGTTTAATTTTATCAAATACTCAGAAATTTATGTAATATTGTTTTGTTCACATTGAAAATGACCCGATCGGTGTCGAAACGTTTGTACGCGATTATTAAATATTTTACATTATAATTGGCTCGTAGCCCTTTTTTTATTTATTGATTTATTCTGATTGAGCCATATTAAGAATTATATTATAATAAAAAATCGGTTATTTATTGTTTTTCTTATTATTCTATATTTATATATACTGCTAATGTGTCCCTTTCCGTGCGTTTTCCGAAGTGCGCGCGTTATCGACCCTGCGAATAAATCAAGCCGATAAATCAGGACTATTGCACGACTCTGCGAATCATTGACGGGCAGTGTACACTTTTAATAAAAGATTGACGCCTTGCTGTTTTCTTGTTATTTTTGAGTTACTGAATTCTGTCATTCACGTCTTATTCTAGAAATAAAAAAGTTATTTAGTATTCATTAGTTTAAATAACAACTTCTGACTTATTTCTTATTTAATATTTTAAATAAGAGTTTTCGGAAACTATTTTATATTTTTTCTTTTAAGTAAGTTGTAATAATTATTTTATCGAGTCGTGATTGGCATTATACGTAAGTTTAAAGAATTTTTGAAATACAGAGTAATTTGCAGCAATAGTAGTGTCATAACCCTATAAGCGCATAATATTATTTAATATGAAATAATATTTTAAGCATATTCTTAGAATATTAAATTTTAATAATATTTTAATAATATTTTACTAAAATTATATAACATTACATGATATTCTCGAAATATTAATGGAAGGTTATATGTCCATTCCTAATAATATTAGAGGAAAGTCGCCGATACTGACACAGGTGACTTAAAGTGACACCCCCTTATTTCTCAGAAACTAACTATTACATTTTATTAATATTAATAAAATCATGATCTGTTTAGCTAATTAAAGAAGTACAAACTCATAATTCATATATTTATAGCTTGTTTCTATACCAAATCAGCTAAAAACGAATTCTACGAATGCGAAAATAAAATTCTTACGATTTTCTTTTGCAAATTGCGTGGTTTAAATAATAGTGACTATATTATTAATAATATTACGTCATTTTAAATGCTTATAGTTTCCTAAATCAGTTCTATTTATATTATTTTTTCTCTTAGTCTTTTCATAATACAATTTTAAATTTGAAATGGGGGTGCAGAGTAAACCGACACACCTGTCTGTAAAACAGACCATTCTTTATATAAATATGTACTTATTTGACCATAAGCTAACTTAATCTTTATAATGGTGCTTTATAGTGTGAAGGCAATCGTGCATATATGGAAAAATTCTTGAATAACTTTCGCATTACATATTTGTATCTTGCAGAACAGCATAAAATACAATATATATGCATATAATTCAATAAAAATTTTTAACGAAGTTTTATAAC